TCCTTCCGAGGAGTGGCTGGTGGGTTTGAACTGCCAGCCTTCTGGTTAGCAGTCAAATGCCTTAGGCACTATGCTACCAGAGCTCCCAGTCTTTTACTAGTACCTTTTATTCAATCCAGCCATCTAACTGCTCTCTTCTTAAACTTTAGTGCTTAAACATTGCTAGAGAACAATTACAAAACTGCATGAATTGGTACCACTGTTCACAATACTTATTATTTACTGATTGATTCCAGGTTCTGTGCCAGGTGCTGGAAATTTAATGCAAAGTATATTAACATACACTCCCTGCCCTTAGGAAAGCACATCATTTATTACCAAAGGGCAGATGAGGATATCATCTAAATAGTAGATAAGTCCAATGAAAAGGTCATTCAGAATCCCTAGAGAACAGTAGGGTAAAAGACATGATATACTCAAAGGGCTAACATATGTGAAGAACATCTAAGATGCATTGAGATCATCTTCCATTTATTACTTGTATCTGTTAGCTTTTGCTGTGTAACAAATTACATCAAGCTTTAGTGACTTTTAAATTATGTGAGAATCAATTTAGAAGAACTCCCGGGTGATGGAACTCCAGAGATGGACCAGTGATGAAATGATGACATTGATGGAGGTTTAAGTAGGGAAAGCAGTACCATTGCACTTACCTGTGACAGCTGGTGAGTGAGCACCTTTTTCCTGAGTGAACAGTTATTTGATGTGCAAGGGGGCCTCAGGAATCAAGAATTCCAAGCATAATGTCTGAATCCTGTCCAGCTGGTGGGAGTGTTATTGACAGTGTAATCAGTAAGGGTTTCCAAGGCAATGTTTCATTGTCCAAGTAACAATTGGAGACAAAATTTAAGGAACATGGTGGAAGGAACTTTCATCCTTGACATACAAATGCTCAGTTATAAAATATGTGTGTAAGTCTGCCTGTCACTTTCTTTTATACATTAAATATTTCACTTCTGTACATCCTCTGAGTTGTTTGCAAGTATGTTAATAATATAATCTGCAGTGTTATTGTATTTTAAGCTCCCTGAAAATAGGAATAGTATCTTCAGTAAATATTTATTGATTAAGCTGCATGAATTAGTCATGAATGAGAACAACTTTGCTGATGCAGGTATCTTACAGTATTAAGTTGTCATTAGTAAACTCTGGTGAATCCTTCAGTATTTTAACATGTAATAGCAGAGATACTAAAATATAAATCATGTAACATGACTATTTTAAAACATATGATTGAAATTTCACTCACTGAGAGAAAATGTTTTCATGACAAATGTTCTGAAAATATTGGATTCATTAGTATTATTATCTCATTTCCAGATATTACATTGAAATCTTGCTGCAGGAGTACAGACTAAGTGCTTTTGTTGATGTTGGGCTGTATCAGTCTAGAAGTGTCTATACTGAACAGCAAACAGGAGATGCAGTAAATGAAGAGCAAGTTATCAAATCCCAGTCAACTGTCATTCAGGAAATACAGGTTTGTTATGATCATAAACCTACTTCATTTGAAGTTAATGTTCAAAGATAGAAGCCCTATTGGTTTTTTGTTTTGAGGGCAAAGCAGTCATGGAAAATCATAACATTGTCCATGGCTTGGAATATCTGTATTATAAACTAAAGAGACTGTTACTTGTTAGGATTTTTAAAGTTTTTAAATATGTTAAAATATCATTTTATTATTTGCAGTAAAATAGAACAATAAGGAGACATTGGATAGCTGAATTATAGTGCTTTCAAAAGCTTTTTGATGTGGTAAAAATATTTTTTTTAATTGGAAAACAGGTTATAACATTGGAAAACTGGGAGACAACTAATGCAATTAATGAAATTCAGAAGGTCATAGTGACCAGCCCTTGTGTGAAAGCTAATTCATGTTCACTTTACCAATACAGATTAATTTATAACATGGAAAAAACTGGTAAGTTGCAAATAATAAGGGACATTTTATTTCACTCCATATGTAGATGCCATTGTAAAGAATATATATATATATTTAGTCAAATTCTACGCTAGCCAAATATTATGGAAAATATAGTTTTAATAGTATGCTAGGAAAAGGAGCAGAAAAACTTGAAGAAATGTATTTTCTGCTTTTAGTAGACTAGGAATGAAAATGGCATCAATGCAAACAGCTTTCTGGTATGTACCATCATGTTCTGTAAGGATCACAATAAATATGTATAAATGCATATAGAATTTTATATATTTGTGACTCATAGGTAAGATAATAGAAGGTAAATTCATCATTATAGAGGAGTGAACATTTCTTTCAGGTTCTTAAATTAACTGATATATATATTGAGACACAATTCATCAATAAATAGACATTATATTTCTGTACTGTATAATCTTAGAAAATATTTTTTGTTATTTTTGTTAATTATTTTAATCAACAAATATTGATGAGTGCTTACTATTTGCCTAATACACTGCTCTTTGCTATGAGAATATTGGAACAATAAAATATGATCCCTGTCTTCAAAAACATCACAATCAATTATCTAGTAAGTATTATTGATTGTGATGTTTTTGAAGACAGGGATCATATTTTATTGTTCCAATATTTCTCAATTATCTAGTAAGTATTATTTCGGAAGGAAGGTTGGGCATTCCTACTTCCGTAGTGATACTGCCTCGGAAACCCAAGGAGGGGTCGCTATGAGTCGGGGCCGACTCGATGGCAAACAACAACAACAACAACAAGTAAGTATTATTAAACTTGAATCAATTTCAGAACATAATTTCATTCAGTGATAACTTACATGGTACAGACTATGGATATTTTAAAAATTCAAATATAAGATATGAGTGTAGGCTGTGATAGCTGAAAAAGGTTTAAACTTTTTTTTTTTTTTTTAATTCATCCAAAAGTCTTGCTATCTGCTGATGCTCCTGACTTCATACTGCAATCAGCCATAAATGACCTCTGGTCTATAAAACCAGATTCAGTTCAAGTAACAAGGACACAAAATCCTGAGAGCTATATTTACACAATAACCTTCATTTCAACTAGAGGTAAGCATGTATTTCATTTTATACTTCTGTAATACACTTCTAGGAACCAAATTTGTAGCCCGTGCAGCTCCACTGAAAAAGGGAATATTTTCATAAAATGACAGACGAAAAGAATTGGATTGATAGTCCTGTCACTTTTAGAAGAAATAGAAATTAAATCGTTCTTTTTTTTTCCAATGATGACAATGGACTCAAACATAGCAATGATTGTGAGGACGTACAGGACCAGGCAACGTTTCGTTCTGTTGTACATACAGTTGCTGTGAGTTGGAACCAACTTATCAGCACCTAACAACAACATGGTAATTTATATCTTAGTTGTCTCTTAAGGAATGTAAGGAGCTCTGGTCGTGGAGTGGTTAAAGCATTCAACTGTTAACCAAAATTCAGTGGTTTGAACCCACCAGCTGCTCCCCAGGAGAAAGATAAAGATACCTGCTTCTGTAAAGATTTATAGCATTCGAAACCCTATGGAGCAGTTCTACTCTGTTCTATAGGATTGCTATAAATTGGAATCCATTTGATGGCAGTGGGTTTGGGTTTTTGGTTAAAGGAATGTACAACTCTGTTGCATGAGAAATGCACTATATGTACCACAAATGCATTGCTGACATGATAGCCCATTTTATAAATATCAACAATTAGCACTATCGAGGAGTTACTAACCTGGCTAGATCTTACCTGACAAAAGTATTTTGTGGTCAAATTCACATGGACAACACTGCAGACCTTGGTTCCTCCTTGAAGATTGATAGAGCTCATTAGAATATTAAAATCCCTGGGGAGTGCTGCCAAAAAAAAAAAAAAATTCACCGGTGTTTAATACAACATTTTCTTATTTGATATCTCTATTTCCACCCTCCTTTTCTCAAGTAATAGCTATCTTTTAAATTAATGTTTTACTCAAGACACTTTTGGAAATAATGGGGTTGACTTTCTACCTTCAACCATATCTAGCAGTTCATCTGGCCATTTGGTATATCTAGCTAATGAAATAGTTCCTTGAATGTGTTTAATTTGGGTTCTATATATTTATTTTTATTTTTTAAATTTTCTTTGAGTAATCATTATTTTCTGATTCATATAAATAAAGGTGTTTCTTTTATTTTCATACCTCATTTTATGAAATTCTTAATTTGATTGTTGAGTGGACGGTGAAGAATTTTGATTAACATGAGTTGAAGTTCCTAAATTTTTTCAAAAGTTAGATTGTAAAAATACTAGGAAAGGTTTATATATGGAAGGCAACTTTCTTTGTTGATTACCAGGGGTGAGAGGTGAGGGGAGGAAACACTGTAAAAAAACAATATATATATATATATATATATGTATAATAAAGTGTGTGTATGTTTGTGTGTAGATAAAACTATATAAATGAAATGACCATCCTTGTCCTCCCAGGAAAATATTTATATATCATAGAGAGCTGTTTGAGGTTTCAGCAGAGACCTTAAGGAATAGGATACCAAAATCACAACTGGGTAAATAATAGGACCTTACCCAACAAAGAAATTCAATGAAATTCCACAGATAAAGCATTCTCCTGAAAAGGAGAAACATCTGAGAACAAAGCTTTATTGCTCTCAAATGAGATTGTCTAAATAAGCCTCACAGTCCTGGGGCTGTTTCCTGGAATTCTATTTGGGGCCTATTCATGTCTAAATAAAATGTCAATATCCCAGCCTAGCCCCTTTCACTAATGGCCACTAGCAACAAAAAGCTAATTTTTAAAATATCTACTGCCTGTTGACCTTCTCCTCATGGCTGCAATACATCCTTCAGTTTATCTTATAATAAAACCAAAAAAACTCACTGCCCCCCGAGTCAAATCTGACTCATAATGACCCCTTGTTGGGCTTCTGAGGCAGTATCTCTATGGAAGTAGATTGACCAGTCTTCTGAGGAGTGGCTGGTAGGTTTGAACTGCCAACCTTCTGGTTAGCAGTCAAATGCCTTCGGCACTACACCACCAGAGCTCCCTTATCTCATAATACTACCTTTTCAAGCACAAAAATACTGAACCTTAAATCAATAGCATTATGTTTGCTATTTTGCTATTTCTGCTCTAGATAAATCTGTCCCTATTCATCTTCTTTTGTGAGATTAACCTCCCAATAAAACCAATTTGGCTAAATCTGAGTGTCTTAAAAATATACTGGTATTTTATTTATTGGCCTTTTAAAATTCTGTTTGGTGTTTCATTGCAGGAGACTTTGATTTACTTGGTTATGAAGTATTTGAAGGGAAAAATGTTACACTGGATATTACAGAACAAACCAAAGGAAAGCCCAATTTGGAGACATTTACTCTGAGTTGGGATGGAATTTCTTCTAAGCCTCTTACCCCATGGTCATCAGAAGCTGAAGTATGTTCTCGGAAAGTTCCTACCATATAATTTCCCTGCATCCTTTAACAGGACTCATGGGCCACTCGTAGACAGATAGGAAGGACACATTTCTTTCAAAAATCACGACAAATCATATGTCATACAAGTTTATATGTTGTGTACATTTTTGGCTGCAAGGGGATATGCAAACAATCTAGCACAACTACCCCTTTTTCTAGGTAAGAGATCTTGAACACTTGAAGGCCCCTTCTTCTGCACAAAGACTCGGTGGCCCTCCATTCACCCCAATGGTGTCCATTCAGATTTTTATTTTATTTTATCGCCTGTAAAAGAAAAATCCAAAATTCCTTGAGAGATGTAGTATAGTAAAAATATACCTATAAAGTATTGGTTAGTTTAAATCACTTGTTAAATATTCATAGCTAGTAAGCGTCAACCTTATATAAACATTACTTTGAAGAGTACACTCTCCTACTTGGTAAGATAGGTTGGAGCCAACTCATAGTGTATGGAGAAGGGAGGAAAGGTCGAAAAGACAAATGGGAGGACAAGGAGGTTCATACATGTGTGCCAACAGAGTCTAATGAATCTTTATCTGAAGCAGTTGATCATAGAGACAGAATGTTTGCTTATGAGTTACTGAATTTTGAGGATGACCAACTCAATGAATATAAGTTAATATTTGCTCAATGATTAATGATCAGTCATTGTTTCAAGCCCATTGTAATAATTGTTGTGCTTTGCCAGAGATATAGATATGAAAGTTATAGGGGTATCATGAAAGTGTCCTTTATAATTCAGAATTATTTATTATTTTTTAAATAAACACAGATGTAGGCTTACAGTATCTATGTCTCCTTTTAACCAATAGAATGCACTGGAATATGGAATTTTTTTCAGTTAATTTCCAGCTAATTTGGAAAACTATATATTTGTAATCTGTTTAATTGGATATAAATTAACTTAGACTGACCTCATTTGCTTGCTTTAACAAAACTAATAAACAAATTTGTCTACCTGATATAGTGCTAAGGAAATTAATATTAGCCAATTAGCAAGCAATGTTTAGTTCTTTTATTCATAAGATTGCCATGAGTCAGAGGCAACTTGATAGCAACTAACAACAACAACAACAGCATATCATTCTAAAATAAAAGTTTGGAAAAAGTCATTGGACACTAAGATCATCACATACTAACTTAAACTTATTTAGGAAATAATTTCAGAATTATGGCTAAAATAAGGGGATTATTTTTATTTATTTATTTATTTATTTATTTTATTTATTTTTTAAAATTTTATTTTATTTAGATTTGGGTGAAAATTTACAGAGCAAAATCACTCTCGATACAGCAGTTCACATATACTTTGTCTCATGTCATTGACCACAATTTACCACAATGCAACAGCTCCCCTCCAATTTCCTCCCCAAGGTACCACTTCCCAGTGTCCATCCCTCCATACTCTCCTGCCCCCTAAGCTGTCTCCCTG